CCTGGCTTTTCAGTGAGTTCTGGGGGAGCCAAACTTTGGTTCTCCTGACCATGTGGCAGATGCTTTACTCACTGAGCCACCTCCTCAGGTGGGCATATTTGATTTTAACATCACTTCTCAGAATTAGCCACAATGGCCCATGGTATTCTGGAATCATGTCCATTTAGGATTTGATTTAGGATAATCAAAGTTGTTTTTATTTTCTTCCTAAGACAGAGTTTCTTTGTGCAGCTCTGGTTGTCCTGCAACAAGCTGTATAGACCAGGCTGGCCTCAAACTCGGAGGCCTGTTCCTGTCTCCCAAGTGCTGGGATTAAAGGTGTGAGCTACCACTGCCGGGCTCAAAAATGATGTCGCAAGAAAGGTCAGTCACTGTTTCCTTTTGGTATACATTTTAAGGCCAAAGCATATTGACCTAGAGTGACTTGTCTGATGTTTTGACTCTTTCTTCTTTATGAACAATATAAATTTAACAGTTTTGACCTTCTTTTAAGGCTGATTGAAGTACCTCCCGATTGTGATTGTTATCTGGCGCATTAACCGCTCTTCTAGCTTTGGGTCTTCTCATTTCATTAGCATATTTCCTACAATTCCTGTAAATATGTACCCTTCAAAGGCCAGGACCAAGGACAGCATGCTGTGGGCAATCACTGTGACTTCTAACCTGAAGGATCGGTGATTTAAATGATTTGGGTATAGCTGTTTAATTACTTTCCTATGTCCTTATCTGCACCATTACCAACGCCTCAGGTTCTTATCTTGTCACCCCTTGCCTTATAAACCTATCAGGAGAGGAAATGAGATCATTTGGTTTGCTCTTGCTGAATTTATGCTGATTCTTAATAACTTTGTCTTCATAAATGCTCCTGAGTCAAAAGTTTAGTAATCTTTGTACAGTATCCCTTGGACTGGCTCTCAGCCTTTCTGGTTTGTTTCTATTTTTTTCTTTACTACGGTAAGACCATCTGCTCCCCATATCTCTTCTATTCCTTCATCATCTCCTGCTTCCCTCCTTTGTTCTCTCCTCCCCTTCCTTCCCACGGGTCTCTTTTGGTTATTTTGAAATAAGGATTCAGGCTCTAAACTATACCATCTT